TCTTTCTTGGACAAGAATCAGACACAAGATACGATTTTTCGTTTAGTGTGTGGTTATCTGCTTTACAATTTGATTGAGAGGCAGTTCAAAAGGATGATTTAGTAATTCACTGAGGTCGTCACTTGCCTTGTTCTTCAGCAAAAAAATTCTCCACTGTCTGATACGCCCGATTTTGTTCCTGGCAATTTTCACATCGTCTCGAAATCCTTTCCATCCACGGCTGCAGCTAGCAAAATCAAATTATGCTAACTTACTTGGTATAATTTTTGCTTCTCGCCCTCAACGAGAGTTCAACTACTGCCCGGGACAACACCATGAACACAGAGGAAGGCGGAAGCCAATCGTCTTTCTTCTCCACCTCCATACTGTGTAATGGCGTTCAACTTCAAAACAATTTCCGCTACCGATCGCGACCCTTCATGCCGTCTGAAGGAACCTACCTAGACTAAATCGATGCCGTAGAATCTGATTCTGACTGATGCTTGAGTGTGGAACCAAGGCAAACACCTCAAAAGCGACTTTGAAATCTACAAGAATCCATCGAGATGCGTAATATCGGCACGAATTCGCCGTGTGAGGCACCAAACGAAAGCCTGAAACCCACTCTTCAACGGTGCGCCAATAAAAATGGCGATAAACTCACTCTCCCTACCTAAAATCTACGCCGAAGACCCCGCGCTGACATGTGCCATGCCTGGCATTCAAAAAGCATGCATGCGTGTCAAGGTACTTTTGCCCCCGCAGATCACGTGACTGAAATCCCTATCTTTGGTCACAACTTCTTCGTTGTCCGGTTGGCCAAAGTAGCCGTCGTCTAGGGCCCGACATAAAACCCTATAAATGAAACTCAGATTTTTCAAATTTCAATTGGGGTTTTGAGCCTCTATTCGTCCAAAACGGGTTTCCTAAAGTCAGCAGGAGTATTTCCGATGAATAAAATGCAATTTTTCTTCCGATTATCATCATCTTCTTTCCTTCTTTCTTTCTTTTGCCTTCTCTTGCCATGGCTGGCTAACGCCCCCTACTTTGCATTGGCTTCTGCCATTGGACGGTGAAAAAAAAATTAAAATAAAATTAAAAAAAACACTTTGGATTGACTTACTGGATACTGGTGTGCCATGGCTATCCCCGCTGGAGATGATGTCAACCACACGGTCGTTGATACGCACATGTTGAACACAGCCGACGTATGCGTCCGTGGACGGAGAGCCAGCGGCGGCCTTTCCTAGAAGCAGAGAGGCATCGTCCAGTTCAAACGCGTTTATCTTGAACAGGCGCTCCTCGACTTGAATCTCTCCTTGCAGCGGGCGAAGGGTGACACTGGTCGAAGTCCAGCCGTCACTGGCGTCCTTCTCCACGGACTCACCACCGGTGACAACGTACTTGAGCTTAGCATCTCGAGTGGACAGAACGGTGAGCAGCGCTTGGCCACTGCTTGACAGGACAGCCACCGTACGTTCTGCTGCACCACCGTCACCGACGCTGGTGTCACTGTCGCGGTGAACTAAAAACGAAAGAGAGTCGGTGTGCGGCGAGAGAGGAATGCGGATGAAACTGTCGGCGAGCAGCCAGCCCTTGTGGTTGAAGTCCTCCTCGCCGGGACTGACCTGGCTGAGGGCAAAGTTTTCATCGTCGTCACGACCATTGAGGCGAGCCTCATTAACGAGCACATCCTTGATATGGCCGCGGAACTGTTCTTGCCCGTCCTGCTCCACTGCTGCGGGCTTGCCAAACTGGACACTCTTGACGCTGCCGGGAACAATTCGGATCGTGACGGCATCGTCCTCGCCGAGCGTAGTTGTAATCGAGTCCAGATTAACTACAACATCGACTGGGATGTATTCAAACGCCGGTCGGCGCGGGAACTCGCGCAGTCTGACGGGCTCGCCAGGCGTCGTGTCTGCAGCCAGCCATATGCCTCTGTAGTCGACATACAGCCAAGCAACCGCTCCGCCATCGCGCACCAAGGTCACGACGGAGCGTGCCCCCAGTGGGTTCCACGCTCGGAAAGAGAACTGAACGCTGGAAACGCGCCGCGACGCTGCACCGCTGTCAGCCTTCGGGTAGGTGACGACCTCTCCATCTCTGCCATGGAACGTGAACGGAGCAACACCTACAGCAGAAAAAAACAGACGGAGTACAGTACCAGAGTGAATACACGAGAACGCGGATAGTACCGTGTTTTCTGGAGTACATACCGCACTAGAGTATAAGCCGCACCTAGATTTGTTGATATGAACTACGGTAAAACCTGGTTTAAGCGACCACCCCATGGTGCAAGCAAAAGCGGTTGAGCCAGGTGGTCTTTAGAACCAGGTCCCACAGTGTCCGTGTAGAACTGTCCGTGCATGGAAAAAATGGTTGTTAAGAGCAGGTGGTCGCTAAACCCAGAGATCGCTTACACCAGGTTTTACTGTGCAGACATGGACCCCATGTACCACCAATAATTTGACCATCGTATTATACGCAACGCCAACTGTTCGGGTGAATCACTGGTGTATATAATGTACAGTTTATACTCCGGAAAATACGGCAGTGTAGCCACATCATTATAGCCAAATGTCAGTAGGACGAAAAAAATAGAAATGCATCATCCGGGGGCTTTGCCCCCGGATCCCCCCCCCCCCCCCAGTCATAGTAACCCCAACAGACGCACACACACACGCGCGCGTGCGCGCGGAACTGTTCAGAAAACCTTTCACGGCTTTGTGTGAGACTCGGGCTGAGTTTGCCGATTTTCCCCAGACAGCTGATGATTCGCTTAGCGCCTTAGGAGAGAGCTATGGAAACAGTCGTGATGCGCAGTAATAGCCAAAAATCTGGACCATGACTTCTAAACCAAGCACAAGGTCAAACTTGGACAAATTCATGGCTGTTGTCGGCAGGAGAAGGTCAATTGTCGGCAGGTCATGACAGGCCTCAAAAATCGGCAGGCTACTGACATGTCGGCAGGTGTGGCAACACAGATACGGTCACACGTCAGGATGTAGCAAGCACATGCTCAAAGAAAAAAGAGCAAGAAAAGACAGATAAAAAAAGAAAGAAAGAGAGAGAGAGAGAGAGAGAGAGAGAGAGAGAGAGAGAGAGAGAGAGAGAGAGAGAGAGAGAGAGAGAGAGAGAGAGAGAGGGAGTGAGGGAGAGAGAGATAGAGAAAGAGAGAGAGAGTAGGGGGGGGGGGACGATTTGAGGAGGACAAGACATTGACACTTACTTTGTTCGCAGTGCAGGCCGAAGAACTCTTGGCCGGAGCACGTACAGTAGCGCTGCTCGTCCTCGCCACGCGAACACTCGCCGCCGTTGCGACAGAAGCCACGCTGCTGCTCGAGCGTGCACAGCTCGCAGAAGGTAGTGATGGGCCGGGAGCGTGCGGCGCTCGGCTGGACGGAGAACTCGAAGCGCGACAGCTCGTCGTGCAGGTTCTGCGGTTCCTTGTTCACGTACAGGTTCTCAATACAGAAATTGATCGCCTGTGGATACGGCAAGCACAAGAAACACAGTGTAAGGAGCCATCCATAAATACCGATATCTATTTAGAAAAGAAAAGGACCAAGGAACTACAAGTTACGCTATACTGCCCGGTAACACCATCAGTTACTTGACAATCAGCTAAACGTCAACGTCCTCACAGCTGAGACTTTCGGCTTGTGCTTGTCTTGGTTGCGCTCACCTTCCCCTACTATGTTATCATATAACTTAGAACCTTCCAAGTTGGAAGGCTGTTGGAGTGCGCATCCAAGACGCGCTAGAGCTGATAGCCAGCTAGTTGAAGAACGTCAGTGCTGTCGCTCAGTTTTGTACAATGTTATCGCATGAGCGGATTGTCAAGTAACTGGCGTGTTAGTGGACATTATAGCGCAACTCTAACTCTAATCTATAATTACGGATGGACCCTAAGAACAACGATGCTTCCAAAAATATAAGGAATTCACAGATGCGTGAGAGTTGGTTTGACATCATTGCCGTGGGGTGTCACGACCCTCAAGGATCAAGCACAGGGCTGCCACACTTGGAGGGAGAAAAAATCTGACGGGGTCCGGGGGTGTCCCGCGGCGAAATGGTTTAGGAAAATGGCTTGCTGTAGGGGCCCCAGAACACATTTTTAACTGTCCACACACATGCAAGCACGCATGAATTTTACAGCTACATGTACATGTACAATGACTGGCCAAACGCGACCTGGAAGCGCCGAATCGCCAACTGGACTAAAAAGCGCACAAAATAAAATAATCGGTTGTCCATCTTTGGGAACAAAATCGGTCGGTTTGTCCTACAGGCGATCAAAAATCGGATGATTTCCGAAAAATCGGAGCAAGTGCTAGCCCTGCAAGCAAGGCGCAGATGTAGCGCCTAAAGCGGTTGGGAGGTGATTAGATCAGACCCACCGCCAAGTGGTCAAAGACCGAAAGTCCCATTCGCTGCATCCATGTTCGTGTCACGTGTCCATGTGACATGACTCTGCCATGTGATCATGTACAAGTAGCAGGTCACGTGATCAGTTCACGTCATCATCATCATATCCTGTTCATACTTACATTGGTGTCCGTTGGGTGTCCCAGAGTGACCGTACCACGTGAGTCGTCGCTAGTGGCGACAGTCAGATGGCTGACATTCAGGTGGTACTGGACCGCATCCTGGCCGTCCCCTGTTGACACGGTTACGCGGATTATACGCGTTTGCTGGTTGGCATGGAGACGGATTCTCCGGTTCACGTCGTCCTGGATACTGGCGACTGGCTGCGGGAAGTCGACAACAGACTCGCCGTTACCGTCTTGATCGCTAGCCACGCCAATCTTCAATGTGTCGTCCACGGCGAGAAGAGAGATGAATCCGAGGGGAGTGCCGATACCTGCGATGCGCGTCACCATGCCTGGAGTCTCGCTCGACGGCAGCAGCACGGACAGCTCCATGGTGTGTAGCTCCTGATCAATGCTCAGCGCTAGGAAGGATTCCGGCGTCAGCGATACCGTGTACGGGTCAAAAGAACGTTCCGACAACAGTGACCTGTCGAGCTGAGTCTGATTCGAATCGAGCACATGGACATCGTTGACTGTGATCTCGCGCATGTGGCCCACAAACGACTCGGAAACGACCGCGCTTGCCAACGCCTTCTGGTAGCTTGCGGACGGAGTGAAGGCCACGGCACGATCGTTCCTGGCCGCCGAAACCTTGCTTTCCGCCAGTAGCAGTGTGTTGGTTGTCAGGTCAACGCTGACCAGAGAGTAACGGAACTTTCCTGCGTTCTCGATTGCCAACTCCGCCAGTGTGCTCTCGCCTTCCACCAAGCGCACCATGTCTCTATCGGCCTGGAGCGACAGCACGCTGGCTTGGCCGACGACCGATAGCCTGGCGAGCACGGCAAAGTCGCCCACCGCGGCCTGCCACTGTCGGAAGTGCAGGTAGAAGCGGCGCAGCATGACGGCCGGTGACGGACTGTACGTGATGCTGCTGTTGCCAAACATGGTCACGGATGTAGCACCTGAAAAGCACAGGCAATGGCACAGAACGGGCAGTTGCAGTACATCGCGCAACTACTGCACTGTAGAAGATTGGGGGGAGGGGGGGGGGGGGGGGGTAAACTTACAACCACTCCACTAGTATTGAGTTGCTTTTCCCTCTGATCTGGAGATAGTTGTATTGACATCAATGAAAGAAAAGGAAAGGGGGGGGGGGGGGGGAAGAAAAGGAAAGGGGGGGGGGGGGGAAGAAAAGGAAGGGGGGGGGGTTGTCAACTGACAAACGCTCTATCCAGTTGATATTCACTCTGATCTGAACTTAGTTTTTAGTGATATCAACGAAACTAGCTTTCGATTCAGCGCAGAGCGAACAGAAAATATCAATAACCTAACTTTCAATTTCTTGAATTGCAGTACACGTCGTCAACATAATGGTGGATTGCAGATGCACGCGTACATTCATATTCCAAAGTGGAGCATGGGTTTTGTTGTCATGAAATACATACAGCAACCCTGTACTTCACGCCTCATTCGACCATCATAGTATACGCCGCACCGACTTTGTTCGCGTGACCTACGAGCGTTCAATCGAAGTGCGGCTTGAAAGGCGTAAGGTACGGTGATTAACTTTTAAACGTCAGCAAAGACGACCGATATGAAATGTCCTACTCTACCACACATTGAAATCCGTTGAGAAGTTCAGCGGCCACCGGGGAGCTGGCCGCGCAGCCATGGCCATGAACCACAGTGCATGAACGCGCTAAAAGCAGTAAGGAAACCGGCCCTGGTCATCCCACCGGATTTCAACGTCCACGACAGTATGTAGCATTGTGCACTTACGTTTTGCGCAGTGCACACCGCGGTACGCTGTCGTGTCACACTCGCAGCCGACCTGGTCCCGAGGCAGGTCAACGCACACACCACCGTGCTGGCAGGGGCTGGAGAACTGGCACTCGGGGCAGCCCGCAACGACACTCGTTTGCTCCTCGGGCTCAACGTCCTCGGCTAGTCCAGAGACGGGCAGGCGGTGCAGGTCGACATACTCACTGTTGACGAACATCGACTCGACGCAGCCTAGATAGCCGGGAAGGCCCACGCTCGGACCGCCTACTGTGACAGAACTTTCCGCGTCCTGCTTGGCGGGGTTAAGCGACCCACCCCAGGAAAGGGTTTCTGTGCTCTCGCTCGTAATGGTGGCCTTGTCGGACTGGATGGCGAGCGCGATGTTCTGCCACTTGCTCGGCATCGAGACGTCGAGAGGCACAGACACAGACGGTTGGTCACCGCCAACAGTGTTGCCATCAGTGCTCGTTGCCGTCAACGTAACGGAATCCTCTCCGGCGTTTTTCATGACGGAGAAGACCAGGTCACCTGTCCTGACTGTCAGCAGTGCCCAGGCATTGGCGTCGTTCTCATGCGGACGCGGACGTATGGCTATCTGTACTGACTCCACAGGCTTGTCCAGGGTGGCGGACTTGCTGACTGTCGCATCGGTGAACGAGATCGTGTACGTATCGAACGGCAACTCGCCGAGCGAAACACCACTGCTCACGGTGCTGGCATCCGTAATGATCTGCGCAGCGTTAATGATTATCTGCTTGAAGTGACCAACCGGTGAGTCCAGTTCGTCCGATGCCGGCATGCCAAAATGGACTTTAACCGCGGAGAATGCATCGATGTCACTATCGAATGCGTCGTTCCCGCCGACTTTCAATCGCAGTGAGTTTTTCCGAAGCGTAAAGCGCACGGGTAGGTACTGGAAGTTGCGTATCTCGTTCAGATTGGCGAGCGAGTATTCGACCGAGCCGAGGCTCACGCGTGTTCCAGCGGCGACACGGTGCACCGCTAACTTGGCGTTGTCTTCCTGAACAACGTCGTACGAGCTCGCAGCGCCAATCACCGACACGAGCAGCGTCTTAGGCTGAGGCTGCGGCGACTGCCATAATCGGAAGTAGAAGCTGACGTCGGCGACTGCTTCGTCGCCGCTTTGCGATACGTTGTAGATGAGCGAGCCGCTTGCATTGAATGTAACTGCGGCAGGTTCTGCACACAGAAGGGATCAAACAGACACATAGAACACAGGAAAAAGGGGTTTAGTGTCCGCCGTTTCGTGTTTGCCACCGCTCACGGAAGAACGCTTGTCGTCGAAAGCTGCTGCTCCTAGTTGGCAGATCATGCACACCGGAGTACAATGACTGCCCAAGTTATGCAACACACTGACCCTCTCTATCTGCACGTCATCTTACGACTCTACATCATTCATGCCAGAACACGTCCCAGCGTATTGTCGGGTGCTGAAGAACGGAGTGCCGAACAACAAGCAAGCACAGCATACCAATGTACATACGGTGACTCAACTGTGCATAAACTGCAGTACATGAAAATATGAATGTCCTAGGCTAGGAGGCTGACCCCCAGTTCTTCGTCGCCCGGCAGTATTGTACTGTCGTGGACATGGAAATCCGGTTAGCGGTGAAGCGGCCGCATGGCGCTGGCCATACAGCCGTGAGTACACATACGATCAACATGTGCACTGTGCATGCACCATTCTGTGTGCACCGAGGGCGCCGACCGATTTCCATGTCCAAGACAGTACATCTACTCACCGTTCAAGCAATGCTTCCCACTCTTGCCTGTCAACGAGCAGTCACACTTGAAGGTCAGATCGTCTTCGTTGATACAGCGGCCGCCAGTGTGGCATGTCTCGTTGAACACATTGCACGCCAGGCACTGCGGCAGCACCGTGGAAACGCTGTCGTTGACGTCGACGGCGTTGCTAGGCAACAGTTCGGCGCTGTCGTCGTTGATGGCAAACGTCTTCACGCAACCACGGTAACCAGCAAGAGGGGACGACGTGGCGTTGCCCAGTGCAGTCAAGCGCGTCGGCGATGCACCGCCAACCGTCAGCCGGAGCAGCTCGGTAGCGTCAAAGCTGCTCGGAAAGTCAACGGACCGCGAGGCACTGTTGACGGTCATCTCCACGGTTTTACCGGCGTTGTCAATGGTCACCGATATCGGCGTCCACAACTGCGTGGACAGAACGGGAAGTGTTGCTGTGTTGGTCTGCGATTCGAAATCGGGATCATTGGTCACCTGCAGCTGCAGTACACCACCAAAGACGAGCAGCTGGATACTGCCGTACTCGTGTCCGTTCACGTCCAACAGCACGCTGTCTTCGTCCATATTGCTTGGTATGATGGAGAAGGCGAGCGAGTGCACGGCCTCGTTCGTATTGATCTGGTGATGCGACCCGCCGACGAGGTAGTGTATGACGTAATCCGTGAACGTCTCCTCGCCGACCGTCGCGTTCGAAGTGACTTGTCGGTCGCCATTGGAGATGGCGTCGACCACACTGTAATGATTATACAGAACGTCGCGGAGATGACCGGAAAGTGAAGCTCCGTCAGCGGCTGCTCCGCCTCGCAGCGGCAAACCAAACTCAATCGATCCCAACTGCAGCGGGCTACCAGGCAGATCTACGCCAACTGGGGACCCGGAGTCAACGGTGACGTTGAACTGGTTCGCTGCTGCGTCACCCGGTTTCGGAAATGACACCGAGATCTTCTTGTACTCGAATGTCGAAACGTCAGAGATCGGTATGGTTGCTGCTTCGATCAGATCCGCCGCTCCCGCCCCAGCGGCCGCTACCAGAACACGTATGCCACTCGCCACCTGATCAGAGCAGAACACACATGCACATGCACACATGGGGTAAACAAATGGGGCAGAGCGGAGCCCCATCTGTCCTATGATTAATAACTCGATCTGTTAGACACCTGCAAAGCAACAATAGCGCAAGACTACGATACGAACAAAAAAGGAGTTGCTTTGATATCCTGGTAAATATCCATGCTGCTCTTATTGATGTGCAAGTTTGGGTTTCTGTATTGACCCTAATGATGGGCCAGGACAAAATATTTGGTGAATTTTTGTTATTCGATCAGCAGTAAAAAACGTTATTGGAGTTGAGGAGTGAAGTTTTGTGGAGGTGTTAGCGGCGGTGTTGGAGTTTGCGGACAAAGCGGATATTTTCGAGTCTATAAATCACAAAATTCGAGTGCTCCGTTGCACCAGACGACAACAGGGTGGAACTGGTTGTCACTTACCTGCTGAATTAGTACAGTGGGGGAACTGTCTGTGCTGCGTAGCGTGGCCAGATTGACCATGGTGCTGTCTTGCTCCCAGCTACGGTACAAGAAGACAAGCGACCGTGGAGTGGCCTCCTCGATAGCAAGGTCCAGTGTCAGTGTGGTGTTCTGTTTCACCGTCGCAGTCGTTGCCTCTGAGAGAGAGAGAGAGAGAGAGAGTGTGTGTGAGAGAGAGAGAGTGTGAGAGAGAGAGAGAGAGAGTGTGTGTGTGTGTGTATGTGCGTGCGTGTGAGTGTGAGAGAGAGACAGACAGAGAGAGAGACAGATAGAGAGAGAGAGAGAGACAGACAAACAGACAGGCAGACAGACAGGCAGACAGACAGACAGACAGACAGACAGACAGACAGACAGACAGACAGACAGACAGACAGACAGACAGACAGACAGACAGACAGACAGGCAGACAGAGACAGAGATGCAGGAAGACTGTATGGAATACTGCACAATAAGGAGTTTACATAGGCTTTCAATGAATGTAGCGATGAAGAAAATGGCAGTCACATACCCATACACGCACATGCACGGACGCAAACACAAACACACAACGCACGCTCTCACACACGCACACATTCATGCACAATCATATACGCACGCACGAACACACACACACGCACGCACGCACGAACACACACACACACACACAATGAAGTGTACCAACACCCAAACCTGTACACCGATATCAAATACACGGCATTGCAAGTCAGCTACCAGCTCACCTTGCAAACAGCGTGGTCCCACGAACCCAGTCCCTGAACATTGACATGTATAGGACTCGTCCAGATTATCGACACACACACCCTCATTGTAACATGGCGAGATCGGCAAACACGCTGGACATCTGTAAAGTCATCATAGAAAAGGATGGACAGTACACAAGGAACACGGATTACGTGACCATGCCTTGGCTAGCTCATCCATAGCTGTGCTTCGGGTGGGCTTCGGCAATGCTTGCCGCGTTGCACAGGGCAGACTGGGAACATCTGACACGCTGTATCAAAGACCTCACAACAAGCGGATTAGAGAGTTTGAAATACGCACAGGGGATGGTATTATTATCATCACGCTTGGGCTGTTCTAAATTTGGTCCTCGGGAGCCTGCTGTGAATTACGGTACAAGAACTGCACTCAACCTCTTTTTCGCTACTCAAACCCTTCACGCTAGAGCCGTGCGAGCAATTTTTCTTGCAGAGCTAACACAGACCTTTCCAAGATGTCGGAGTCGCTGAACCTGTTCAGGGCAGTAGCCTTGTGAAGATCGGCGTAGACGTCGTTGATCCAGACCGCCTCTATACATCCCTGGTAGCCCTGCTTCACGGGCAGAACGTCGTAGCGGGCTGTGGTCAGCGCGCCGCCGAACGCCAACTTGTTCGGCTTCAGCACGTCGCTGTTGAGAAACTCCAGCGTCGTCTGGTGGCCGTCCACGGAGATGGTGGCGACCAGTGTGGTGTGATTGAGGACCACCTGTCACCAAGTCACAGAGACAGTAGCACAGGAGATAGTGTATTGGTAGACATTCTCACTTGCGTTAAAAACCGCCCCGGAAAATTACCGCAAAAATGGGGCATTATCAATAATACCCAATTTTGGGGGCTGGCTCATGTGCCTGCAACAGAACCGGCTCGATACATACTACTTGCATCACACCACAGGCATTGAATATTTGGGTGCGGTGGGAAGGGGGCGGGCTGGCACGAAGAGAAAAAGGTTTCGTTTATGGGTGGGTCAAGGGGAGTTTCTTTTTCGAAAAAAATTGATGTGTGAGACATCAAGGCATTCTTGCTGTCAAGTCAATCTATTTTTCGTTCAGGGGGGGGGGGGGGGGGGAGGGTCCTAATTAAACTGTTTTGTTTTGTGAAAATTATCGATACTGCCGGATAGTTCCACAACGTAGCGTTCATTGCCCATAGCCTCTGACACGACGGTTCAAACTCAGCTTAGTGCAGCAGTTTCTAGGTTCTTACGTCAATGGAGTGCCACTCGCGGTCGTTCAGCTTGCTAGCCTCACGGATGTACGTGCGCACTTGGCTCTCCGGGTTCTCGGCAACGGAGCGAATCAGCAGGACGATGCGACGTCGCTTCAGCAGGAGTGTGACGAAATCAGCGTCGAACAAGACCGCGTCATCGGCCACCGGGGTGCGGAATCTGAAGTGGACAACAGAGACGAAGAAGTAACGGTGGGTTGTGAGCATCATTGGCTCACACTCAATCACTGCTTTTCACAACTTCTTTTCTGGAAAAAGCATTTCAGCGTTTCGGTCATAAAATAACCATCAGGCCAAACTAAAGAAGGTGTGTGGTTCGACTCACCCGACCGACCGTACAATTTCAGCCCGACCGTAACTTTTTTTCGGCGGGCTATCGTGTGACTGACGTACGTGGACTGAACACGTCCACGTCTACGTGCTGTGCGGCGTGAGTCTGCGGACGCAGGCGGCTCCTTTTGGACTTGACTTGTAGTTGTACTGCAGTGCAGTGCAGTGAGTGGTACGACTGCTGCCTTGTGCTGGTAGTAGAGTCTACTCGATACGCGTATACAGTGTATTTACATGTACTAAAAATATATATTAAAAAAAAAAAATCCGCCCGCCCGCCCGTAAAAAAAATGTCCATGTTAGTCGAACCACACACCTTCTTTAGTTTGGCCTCATACAGGATTTTAAAGGTAAAAGAAGATTTTTAAAAATGTGTGTCATCCATTTGCCAGTTGTGCGCAAATCAATCGCAATCACAAAGAAGGAAAACCATCCCTGCTTCGTGCATGCAATGGAAGCACAGGCATTCCGTGCCCCGGGACTCAGGAACACAAAGGACAAGCGTTCGTTCACTTTATTATTGGCATCACTCACACACCGCATTGGGACTCGAACTAGGACATGGCTGGCAGGGAGCAGTGACTACAATGAAAGGGGACGAACAAGAAGACTGAAAAGACGAGACTGCCAAATGAAACATGCTTGCATTACGCATGTGCTCAAGACCAGAGATACAGTCAACTTTGCGTATAACGACACTCGGCGAGGCACCAGAAAAGTGTTCTTATTCGCGAAGTGTCCTTACACCCGAAGTCTTATTTTATGTGTACAGGTAGATGGGACTTTGCTCTGCGCATGGAAATTCTGTCGTTACTCGCGAATTGGCGTTATATCCGCAGTCGTTATTAGCAAAGTTGACTGTAGTTTGGGGAGTGTCCTTATACAGGACAACATTACCTTCAACCAGGTGCAGTTTTCTGCAGTTTTGTTTGCTTTTTTGGTCATGATTTCCACGGGGTGCACATTCCTGCTTGAGCAGGAGATTTCAATACTTTTCTTTCACTGCGACAGCAAAGTATTTCCCCGCTTATAAGTCGCACTTGATTATAAATCGTAACCCATTTTCAGTTCGGAGGCAATTTGTTCCAATATATTTCCATTAGTAGGAAGTAATACTCGAGTGTACGTCACACCCGTTTCCTTGCCCTCGAAGCTTAGTGCGCTGCTCTTACCTGAAGACGATGCGCTCCAGTGGCGTTAGCAACGGCAGCTCCTTGGCAACCGCCGGTGTGGCAAAAAACGTCGTGTAGTTGAGGAATGGTAGCTCGCCTACTTCGGCCGATGAAACCGTCGGAGGGATGAGCGCCGCGGCCTCCGCCGTCGTGTCCACACTGTTGATGACAAACTCACGCAGGTGTCCACGGAACGCAGTGGCCGCCGGGAGACCGCTGACTGTGCTGTTGACGCCAAACTCCACGCGCGTTATCTACAATGGGGTCGCACAAATGCAAACAGGAATCATCATTTTACAACAAAAAATGTATTATCGACGCATTCATCCACGCAAGAAGCACCAGCAGCCAATTACGCAAAGATCATGGGAGCACTGGACAGATAGACCCGGAGCTCGCGAACTTCAGAACTTTGCGCTGCGAGTGGGCATCAGGTGGCATTCTGCTGGATTTCAGTGCATAACGCTAATACAAACACTTCAGTTGGAAAGGTCAAATAAACCTTGCAAGCAAACACACATGCTACAGAAAAAGGGCACAGAAGAAGCAACTCACACTATAGACAGTAAATAATAGATACAATCGCTCGCTATTGGGTCTGCCACCTGCTGCTGTCACTGAGGCTACCAGGTCAGTGCCTACTCCGCCGGATGATGCCCTCATTTGAATCTTCACCTAAGGTAGGACAGAAAGATAGAGTGAGCGAGTGTGTGTGTGTATGTGTGTGTGTGTGTGTGTGTGTGTGTGTGTGTGTGTGTGTGTGTGTGTGTGAGAGAGAGAGAGAGAGAGAGAGAGAGAGAGAGAGAGAGAGAGAGAGAGAGAGAGACAGACAGACAGACAGAGAGAGAGAGAGAGAGAGAGAGAGAGAGAGAGAGAGAGAGAGAGAAGAGAGAGAGAGAGAGAGAGAGAGAGAGAGAGAGAGAGAGAGAGAGAGAGAGAGAGAGAGAGAGAGAGAGAGAGAGAGAGAGAGAGAGAGAGAGAGAGAGAGAGAGAGAGAGAGAGAGAGAGAGAGAGAGAGAGAGAGAAGAGAGAGAGAGAGAGAGAGAGACAGAGAGAGAGAGAGAGAGAGAGAGAGAGAGAGAGAGAGAGAGAGAGAGGGAGAGAGAGAGAGAGAGAGAGAGAGAGAGAGAGAGAGACAGAGAGAGGGAGACAGAGTGAGATAGAGAAAAAGATGGTAACAAGGGGAGCTTACAGTGTTAGACACAAGCACCAAGTAGCCGAGAGACCGTTGTGGATGGCGGATGGAATCATGTGCTGGATACAGTGGTTTCAGTTGAGACTTAAAAATATGTTGCCTGTCTACAAGACATCTACTTGCATAGCTCTCCCTCATAGCCATAGGCTGCTGAGATGCAAGTCTACCACACTGTCAAGTGCGCTTTCATTTTCTTCTATCTATTTTCTCGTTCTGCATTCTAACTGTCCTCCCTCCTTGTTAGTAAAATCCGTTCTCCAATGGCTGCTTCTCGCCCTTCATCTCAACTCAACAACAGGCACTTTTTCGACGAGCCAGGAGTAGATGGAGCGCAGACCACGAAAGCATCATACTCTATAAGGAGAAATATTCGTCTGGAATTTGATTTTGTCTTTTTCGTCAAAGGAACTTTTGGACTAAATTATCAAGTGCCGGACTATTAAATGTCGATTTGTCCAGCTTTTCTATACACTATTATGATCCATGGACGAAATTTTCAACCGAACGAACTCCCTTTCTTAGGAGTTGGACGAAATTATTGACCGACGAAATTTTTTGCCTCTACAGCAGCACTGTAAGTGTACAAATTTTCGACCCATTCGAATTTCGGCCTCCCAGGGCTAAAACCCATTTCGGCCACATTACATTTCCATACTGTACTGCTGCTGACTGCATATACACTGAACCTTGCAAAACAAAATTAGGCCGCAACAAATTTCGGCCAAACATGCATGACCAGGCCGAAAATAGCCAAAAATAAATATGCGCCGAATATTGGTTGACTTACGGGACATGGACAAGCAAGTCCGTAACAACACATGCATAGATACGGTAATGTATGCACAACAATGTTGTCTTAAGTTAACGAAATATAATAAGGCCCAAACAAATAATGACCTTGTTTCCGGTCGGCCGACCGGGCCACTTTTTCCCAAATTCTGAAGCTTTTTTTGGTCCCAAATGTATACAAACGGTGGCAATGCCATGTGTGCAAGTGCACTCAACGAGTCATAACTCAGTCAAATCTCCACCGAATTCCACAATCGAAACACCTACAAGGTAGCAGAGATTCTCAGCTGTCGGCTCGAAAACTTCCGGGGTCGATACGAGCTAGAATAACGGAGCTGGAAGGACTTGAACTGTTTGCTTGATTTCTCAGGATGTACGAAAACAGGAATACACCACATGCTGTACAAGAACAGTGAGTCAGTCAACTCTGACATTGATCCTTGCCATGATAATGTACATGTGTAGGTGCTCTTGTCCATCAATACCACAATGATTGAGGAACCAAAAAAAGTATCCGAAAAAAGTTTCATTCCGGCCGACCGAGTCTCCTTTTCGAGGGGTTGCCGACCGGAAACAAGCCTATTTTTTGTTTTGGCCTAAGATAGATCTGTCAGCGTCAGCCGCAATTTCTCTACCTCTCATGGATGCGCTCTCTGCCGAAAAGTTGCTTCTCTTGGTAGCCATTACACTCATCAAGAATTCAAAGCAGCAAAGAGATTGATGTGAACTTCCACCGCACATAGCCACACCAAGACGTTGGGCACACAGAAGAAAGAAAGATAAATCTCTCGAAATCTCTCCAAACACTTCAAATCCTTTCCACATTTTCGCCCAAGAGGGTATCTTCATATCCCTTAAGATACCCTCTTGGGAAAAAAAATTGGACAGGATTTGAAGGGTTTAGAGAGATTGGAAGAGGTTTTTCTCTCTTCCTATTGTGTAGCCAAGGACTTGGTGCAGCTGTGTGCGGTGGAAGTTCATAAAACACCAATATAGAGCTTCAGCCCCAGTGCGAATTGTGGCTTAGACTCATTTCAGTGAAGCCCATCTGCGCTTGGACATGCCAATGACAGGAAAGTCAGATCCAAATAATAGGAATTATACCTTGTGGTATTCGAATGATGTGCTCAAACCGGGTTGCTCAACCTCCAGTACATTCCAACCATCCGCTGTTCGGATGTGAAATGTAATACTATCACCGTCCTGCAGGGGGTAGAAAAGGAGAAGAGAGGCAAAGAGAGCAGAGCTGAGCATAGTGTGTGTGTGTGTGTGTGTGTGTGTGTGTGTGTGTGTGTGTGTGTGTGTGTGTGCGTGCATGCGTGCATGTATGTATGTGTATGTCTGTATGCGTGTGTGTGTGTGTGTGTGTGTGTGTGTGTGTGTGTGTGTGTGTGTGTGTGTGTGTGTGTGTGCGTGTGTGTGCGTGTGTGTGTGTGTGTGTGTGTGTGTGTGTGAGTGTGTGAAATGGCTAGGAAATCTCGCTAGGCCGTTGATGCGGCACAGCGCCTCAACCCAACTCTCCATGTCTGTTGGCCCCTCACACGAGGGGACATGTAACCGGAAACGGCAATGTTCAGGACAGGACAGGTGTGTGTGTGCGTGTGCATGTGCATGTGCATGTGCATGTGCGTGTGTGTGTGTGTTGTATTTATGTACAGACAAGAGAGAGAGAGGGGGGGGGGGGGGAAAGCTGTGTTGCAACTCCAAGTTTCCCGCAGTTATGATCACCAGGCAACATAACAGTTGGTGTCTTTATGTATGGTCTTACCTGATAAATTCTGAATGCCACTACATCTCCATCTTCATACGCAGTTGCCAGAGCAACAACTTCATCAGATTGCCTCCACGATCGGTAGAGGAAGAAAAATTCTGAAACCTCAAGGTTTGGCACTGTTCGAGTGACGGATTCACCTCCGAAGAACGTCAGGGTTGGACCAGCTACACTCAGCCATGCATGTACCCATACGCACACGCACGCGTGCACACACACGCACACACACACACGCACGCACGCACGCACGCACACACACACACACACACACACACACATAAACAAACATAAACACACAAAAACAAACACACACTCACACACACACACACGCAAAAACGCGCATATCCATGATACCAACAAAAGCAATCAGATGCATGTATGGGCACGCGCACGCACACACACACACACGCAAGTACTACTCACGCACATACACACACACACACATACACACACACACACACACACACACACACACACACATGCCCCAGACGTGCAAACACTGTGCGGAACTGAAGTTCATGCATCTACTGAAGTTCATGCATCTACTGAAGTTCATGCATCCAAGATTCAGATATCGCGTTAGTACCGTATCAAATCGAAGCAATGACGAATGTGCTGGTATGAGAGACTGTGGGGTTAAGTGCACGAATGAGCACAGAAGGAGATGCGGGCAAGCTACGTGCTGAAGGCGCCACGCCGTGAGCAGATTCATAACCACAGTTGAGTACTCATGCTGATGGACTTCCAACTGTCTCTATGCAGTATCCACAGTGCAACACTGGAGCAAGGCTATGCTGCTGCAACTCATGTTCAAAATGCAACCATTGGGTATGCGATACAGGACTGTCGGGCACCGAAGAACCGAGCGCCGACGAACCAACAGCATAGAATTTCACCAAGTACAGCATACCATTGTATACGCAGTGACTCAACTGTTCATAGACTACATTAAAAGTCCGTAAATAAGTACCTGCCCGAAAGAAATACCCCTTTCATTCTTTTGGCTCTGTCTGTTGAAGTCAAGTCAAGCCCGATAAACATACTGCCCGAAATAAGTGCCGGTACGGTGCGCACATGCAGCACGTAGCATGTACATCGTAGCATGTACATCGACATGAATAATGCCTTCTCCACTACACACTAGTCAGGTCCGAAAGTTAGTTCGTGCCCGAAAGTCAGTACCCGCCCGAAAGTTAGTACGGGTGCGGTCACTAAATTCGAAAGTAAATACTAACTTATTTACGGACTATTACTGTATTGTACATGAAAATAGGAATAGTCTAGGCTATGAGGCTGACCCCCAGTTCTTCGGCGATCGACAGTAATGTAGCTACAAATGAAAACACAGGAATCTTTATTTTGCTCTTCCTTTTTTTCTCATGATCAGTATCTTCATCATTTTGGGAGAACTATGGCAACACACCCAGTGAGAAGGCAGATTTTGCCTGTGCCTATGGTGAAGTAAAATAAAGCTAAACAAATAAACAAACAACCGACAGGGCAGCTGCTGGACTCACGTGTTTCGCACCGCTCGCCCAAGTAGCCGGTCTCGCGACAGTTGCAGGTGAAGCGTGTCAGACGGCTGACGCACCGTCCGTCGTTCTTGCATTCGTTAGTGTCACAGTAGTAGTGCAGGCATCCCATGAATATACCACCGGACTGAGGTTCACTATCACCACTTCCCGCTGGTGCTGTCTGCACAGAACAACAGCAGCAAGGGGAAACAAAGGCATGACCGGCAAGAAGAAGATCATTAGCATTCTCAAAAAATAAACCATATGGACCTTGCCTTACAAAGGCAGAAGAGAACAGAGACAGCCGGCTAGGTCATTGTTGTAATGCTGCGTTTCATGCACATAGCAAAGCTAAGGCAATCCTCAGACAACTGTTCTCTTCTGCCTTTGTGGTAATGCTCCATCCTTGTGGTGTTGAGCACACTAGGCAATCTGGTAACTCTGGATTGTGGACCTTGGCTTAGATAAAGGGGTAAGCAGCAACATTTGACCCTGTAAAGATTATTTTTTCATCATCCAGTGTTTAGTGTACGGTGAAGTGCATCGTCTCCGTGGGCAACTAGTCTGACCACACTTTGGGGCAGGGTGATTTTATGCCCTCTCACGTACGACATTGCTCTTGTGGAGCGATTCACAGCAAACGCTTGCTATCCACACACAATGTCACGCCAGCACAAGTCCAGGTAAGGTAAGGTGTTCATAAATGCCTCTTAACAGGCATGCACTCACAAATGAACACGATCTCACAAATACACTCACCCAGAAACACGTACTCTCACACTAACATGCGCTCTCGAACACCCAATCACGCACTCGCACATCAACAAACACATACCCACGTACACACACACACACACACACACATACACACACACACACACACACACACACATACACACACACACACACACACACACACACACACACACACACACATACACACACACACACACACACACACAAGCACAGGCACAATAACGCCAAAACACAGGCACAAACAACCATAACGAACACAAATCAACACCAATCCGTACACACCAAACCATACACACGCGTCAGGAAGATGCTTACATTCACTTCCGACGAAGTGCACTTGAAATCCTCCGTTCTACTGACGCAGAAGCCGTTCATGCGCAAGTTTCCGATGCAACCGCGGTACCCAGGCTTGAGCTCGGGGGCATTTGCCAGCGTTGATCGATTGCCCACTCCAGCACACGGAGACTCCAGTCGTCCCCACACCAGCTCGTGATCGACGTGCAGCGCCGCGCTGCCGAGCGTCATCGTACCCTCATGCTGCTTGTTCACAAAGACGTCGATGGCGCTACCCGACTTGTGCAGGCGACCGCGGTGATACTCGCTGCCGCTCACTCCGCCCGCTATGCTCGTGCAGAGCTTCATGCCCTGCGCGCCAGCACCACCAGCTCTGGCCAGCACGCACAACTGAGCGTCTTCGATCTGAACGAATAGGTAATCATCGTCGCCGTACGCCGATAGCAGCAGCCCGTCGTGCTCCTCCAGTCGGAACGTGAACTCTAGTTCGGCGTGCGTAGACACTGCCACACGGGAGAAGGAGACGCCGGACTGAGCGTCGTTCAGGATTAGGGAAACGCTGGAGATAGTGCTGTTGTCCGCCGTGCACGCCCCCAGCAGATGCTCGACGCACGTGTCGCTAAGCAACGGGCGTCGGTAGTGCGCCACACCGCGATGCTTCTCAGTTTCATCGTCGTAGCGACGGTCAAACAGCGCAGTGTAGCCCACAAGCAGACCACGCATGCAGCCAACATAATCACTTCCAGTGGCGTTGGGAAAGTCCCCTCCGACGACTAGCAGGCCGGTGAGACACAGTGGAAAGGCTTCGCCGGCATTGCTACTGGCAACAGCGACGTCGGCATCGACCTTCAGCGTCACACCGTCACCGATCGTCACTTGTATCGAGTGCCATGCGTTATCGTTGACCTTGGTGGCCGACTGGACGACGACTGGTGCACCCCCATCCACGCGATCAAGCTCTGCCGCAACAAACCCGTTACGGAGCGCCAGACGAATGGCGGTGATCTCTTCATCGCCGTCGCGGACAAGACGGAGTAGCGTGCCATTGCCGCTCAGCGTTTTCACCTGCACGTAGATGTCGCGATCTGTCGTCGAGTTGCAGTACTCCTCACGACCGTTGTTCAGCTGCTTGGACCAGCGCGCTCGTTCAGGAAAGCTAGCAATAATTGCATCTGCAATCGAAGCACAACACCAAAAATAAGAATGAAATTCAGGTCAATAAGAAGCATTAGACAAAAACAGCTCAATGGCTGCACATCACAGAAATATTGTGAAGTTGCAATTTTTTTAAAGGTGGTTGCTTTTGCATAATGATGGGTAAGTAGCGGCATATTGCCTTTCTGATTCCATTCCCCTTCAAGCGCTGCACCTCACTAGTTTACACAATTTATTCTAACAACTAAGATGTGTGTGTGGGGGGGGGGGGGGGGGGTGCATGTGTAACTACCCATCTGTTCTCATATTTAACATAATCAGTGAAGTAAAGGAACAAGTTAAACGTTGATTATTTGATTACGACCATATCGCCACCATCTTTGCACAAAGTGGAGCAGCACCCGTAGATGTGAGATTGTAAGTAAGTTGGTTATAAAGGGTATTCCTTGGGCACCACATGACTTGTATGGCAGGCCACCCATCCAAGTACAGGTCTAGGCTGGTTAGTAATTGTGCAACATGGGTTACAAAACAAACCTCGTTAGTAGACAATGATCCAAAATGCCCTGATGCCTGAAACGCATACATTCACGTCTGGATAGCAGATATCTCATACTCGTTGTAACACAAACAATTTACACCCCTGGGTGGTCCACCAGAGGGTAGACTGGCCTGTGTCATAAATTAACTCTTATGTAGTCCCCACCCCCACCCCATGCCCCCCCCCCCCCCTCTCTCTCTCTCTCTTTCCTATCACCTGTGTCTAAGGACTGCATGGCATTTCCCACGAGGGGAGCAGGCACAGAAGGGTGTTCACGATGCACAAGCACCGCATTCCTGCAAGGTTTTAATTGAATACCATACATATGTGCAATCAATTACGCGTAGATGCCTAACAGTCTACACTGGTAGACCATCACTGCAAGGATGCTGGCAATGACCCACTTGAACACTTCCAACACACCATGACCCATGTGAGGCAGAACAATGAGCTGATTATGAAGCCGTTCAAAACACCAATCAGACCAGGAGTGACTGGTAGCACCCAGGGAGCTGAGAGGTCATTGCCAGAATGTTCTTGAGATCAGCCGGAGGTTACAACTGGACTCACGGGGCATGTATGGTGAAGTGTAGTTTTCTAACACAGCAATTAATATTATTTGGCCCGCCACAGCTACAGCTGGGGCAGGAGAAAGCAAAGGGAAATGACCCAGACATTTATAACTGCACAACTTGGATTCAGACTACTACTTGTGCCAAGACTAGCCAGGATTCATTGGTGGTACTTGGTGGTGTAAAAAAACTCATAATATCAATAAGTGCTGATGGTGATACCAATATAACACCACATGTACATGCTCTGCTAACAGAAAGTGTAGTACATGTCATGTACTACACTTTCTGTTAGCAGAGCATGTACATGTGGTGCTGCAGAGCATGTACATGTGGCGTTGCAGAGTCAGTGTTGGCTGCAAGGTGAAAGTGCACAAGGGTGCAGCACAAACACCCACCGAGAGAAGTCAAGTGCATTCACCTTGTGTGCAACCCAGTATGTACACTCTAAAACTCCAATCAACAACTCACTCACCAGAAGACCTACTTTCTACGGAGAAGAGCAATTTAATTATTTAGAAATGATGTCCAGGGAGTTTTCTAGAATGGTGACAGTGACAGCCACACCTTGTGTTAGCCAGGTCACCAGGGAAATGGAGGATGACCAAAACGACACGTACTAATACTAATGTACGCACGAGCACCAAAACCCAGGGATGCACCAAATGAATGTCAATGTCAACAGCTCAGACCCAAAGACCTGTCAACAAGTGACTGTGCGTGGGCAGGACTAGGAGCAAGTACACTAGCAGTAGTGTACTGTATAGCTCAACTGTGTACCCCAAGGCCCCATGAATACCATCGCAATAGCCACCAGCTCCCAAAGAAGTTACCAATGACCAGCTCTCTTTCTCTCTCCTTCCTTCACTCTCTCTCTTTCTCTGTCTCTCTCCTTCCCCTCACTCTCTATCCTCCCCTCTCTCAGCCACGAGGTCCCAATGAATTTATCAATGACCAGGTCTCTTTCTCTCCCCCCCCCCCCCCCCTCTCTCTCCAAGTGCGATGCCACCAAAATTCAAATAGCACGTACAGGGGCGTCACTACGGTTTTGACCGTACCACTTATTGGCCCAATCACCCCGTGCATCAATATAATCCACTGATCTGGGCTCTGGATTTTCTCAAAGTATTCAGCTCAGCCACCCTCCCCCACAAGTAAATTGTACTTCAGATGGCTGACCGCACGACACAAAAATGTCTTCCGATGCCCCTGCACATACAGCTTCCAGGTCTTTGGAATATACTAGTACTACTAGCAGTGGACTAAGTGGAAGAAAGCGTATACAAGAGGGAAAAAGACTGAGACAAAGAGAGAAAGGGAGAGAGAGAGAGAGAGAGAGAGAGAGAGAGAGAGAGAGAGAGAGAGAGAGAGAGAGAGAGAGAGAGAGAGAGAGAGAGAGAGAGAGAGAGAGATAACGTGAGCAACTGGAAGCGAGGGTGAGAGTACGGAGTACGACGATACACTAAGTCCACTCATCCTTCCAAGCGCAACAAATTGAATCTTGCAACAATAGAGCTCCAACAGACATATCCACTTCCTGAAAAATGTACAAGCGCGGGATCAGGTATTTGCTAAACACAGAGTCACCACGCATGCTAAGAATTTTTATTGCCTCTTTCTAAGTATCTGATGATGTATGAAGTGAGTTAGAAGTGCCAATGTTACCCTGTGAACATCTATGGACAATTAGAAATGTCTCCATATGAGGCTCTGAACCTGTCAAGCATCTCCAGCCATCTCAGCAACAAGCATGGCAGCTAAGTGGCTATGCATATGGTAGAGGTACTAGGTGACAGAGATCCATCACAAGCCCACCCTGTGCTCGACTATTGCTGATGACATGATCCCAGGAATGCGGAGTGTTCTGCGCCATTGAGTCAAATCTCTGGAGGGGGGTGAGGGCTGTGCATTTTCTCTTGCAGAGTTGAATCTACTGTTACATTCTTGCTGGGGCTCAGTGGACACATACATGACATTGTACTGTGATGGTAAGACATGAAGGTGTATTGGAAGTGTTGCACGGGGTGCATATAGCAATAGAACTGTGACTTTGAAGAACAGGTCATTTCTGCTCCTGTATTGACCAGAAGCCCAGGTCAGACACACACACACACCGTAGTATATCAAGACTAGCATATTCTCCAATCATAGACCTTTGCTGCAGTAGACATGGCACAAGAACATTGTACTTCCTAAGCTGGTGATTTTCAACACAATGGCATGGCAGGTTGTGATGCCCATGATGATGTGTATCAAGCTTACTTTACTCATAGCATTCACCAATCTTGCCACTCCTGCTAGCACAGTCATGGTGTAATTATAAAGAAGCCTTGCTTATGGTTGTAGTCAGGAGCACTATGCGTCCTGGCCTTGTAACATGCTGTCAACATCGATTGTACAGTCATGTACTACATGTAGGCAACTAATCCAGTGCCTCTTGATAATCATGTATTAGCACTTGGCCACATCAGTACTACAGAAGGCCTGCAGCCAAGCTCACAAAACCGGCAGCTTTACATGTGACTTCTTGTCTTGAAGTACTTTTTTAAGTGGAGAAGTCCGGGCCAGCGGGACAACACGTGCCATGCAAGCTCCAGCTGATTGCCTCGTGGAGTTCCCAAAATGCCCTGATATGATGTACAGCATGCAGCCTGCAGTCACTCTCTGAGGCCGCCATGTGACACAATACAAAGCACAGCCCAGAGTTCAAGCATCCAGTTTGAACGCAGGGCCCTTGAGAAGCACTTGAGCGGGATCTAAGAGGCTTGTATGTGGCCATGAGGCGCACTTGAGCGTGAACTAGGCTGCAGGTCCACCTCCATTGTGTGCCCCAAGTACTGGGGGCCTTTTAGCATTCAGCCTTTTAGGAGACACCGGAGATGAAACAGTTGGTGCAAGGTGCGGGTGAGAAATGCCGGACCAACAACCGCCCTTGTACATCCATATGCACAGGAGAGCCTTATCCTGGCATTGCCATCCCAACCGCTGATCCAGTGGGCGTAGTAGCAATCACAGGTGCAGTGTGACCGCTAAGGGGTACCCTGTGCTAATACTGTTATCCCCTCCAGGTTTTGGCCAAAGAACAACTTTCCAGGCATCAGTCTCCACTAAAGAAAGGCATGATTATTTGAAAAGAAAAAAGGACCAAGGAACTACAAGTTACGCTATACTGTCCACTAACACCACCAGTTACTAAATAATCAGCTCATGCGATAACATTGCACGACACTGACCGACGGTGCTGACGTTCTACACCTAGCTGGCTGACAGCTCTAGCACATCTTGGATGCGCACTCCAACAGCCTTCCAACTTGGAAGGTTCTAAGTTACAGAAATAACATAAGATATAATATGACCAAGGTCACTGTCAGTCTTCTTTCTCCATGCTTTAGCTACTGCAAACTGGTTCTACTTGAGCTGGCATACTAGTAGGTAATACAGAAGCACAGATCCTCTCAGGGGATTGCTACAAATTGCTTTCCAAGTCCAATTTGTAATTTTGTTCCAATTTCGAGTTCGTACCGAGTTTCTTATACGAGCTCAACAAAGACCACACACAATGTGGGGCTAGCACTGGTGGCATCGCAAAGAGAACAAAGTGCACTGCAGATAGCCGCCCAGGCACATTATGTACACGCGTTGGATGTTTTAATCGTAACAGCTCACACACTGTACACAGGCATAGCATGGCCAAAGTAGCGCTTCAGTTGTAGTACATCACCCGTTCTAGACACGTGTACAGTCGGACCTCGCTTAACCGCACACATCTGTTTTCCACAAAAAAAATATCCGGCTAGGCGAGGGAACCGGATAACCGAACACCAGTTATGTTGGATGCATCACGTATGCTGTAAATCTGTAACCAGCTATTTTCTTCCGGATGGCGAGGGATCCGGATAAAAGAGGACTGGATAAGCGCGGTCTGACTGTGCAACACATAATTATACTGACACACTGTATACACTAATGGCCTGACACCTTTCTAGGGTGAATAGTACGCACAACAAAACACAGTTGTTCCCTGGCTGGTAGTTGGCTCACCGGTGGCTGCCACCGCAGGGCACTAGACGGGACCATGTATAGTTGCAGAGCCAGGAAGACAACGATACGGTGCGATCAAGTAAGTAGTTCATCGCTGTGCAGGATGTAGTTTTTTGTAAAGTCCCACACCGGCGATGCCAAGTCGTCATGTTTTGCTACTGGTATTGTGCACTCCCACTCCCACCAACACACTTGAAAAGCACATTTTGGGTGGTACGAATCTTGTTTTTAATTATGGTACCGTGACAGGTCACTTGACCCAAATAAACACCTCTCTAGCGACTGCAGAACGCACATAGACCAACACCAATACCTACTGTGATGCTGAAAAGAATCGAGTAAAGACCGGGCTGTCTCCAAAATTCCAATTAGATAAGCCTGTGGCATTTTGCCTAGCTGAGTTCAAAAAACATTTCCTCGCCATACGTCCACATCGTTGTAACTCACATGCCCCCCAAAAACCCTTTCCACTGAAACGTGCATATCAGGTGAGATAGACACACTGTCTCCAAACTTGTTGGCAAGTTGTGATAACCCTTATTTCCAGCACAAAACTTCAAATTCTGATAGGTACAATCGCAAACCAGCTAAACCGCAATGTGGATTCGTGAGAGTTTTTAGACTGTTGCTGGACGGGATAGTTCATGGCAACATAAGGAATGTACGCGGGCTCTGTGCAATCTTAATCCTTATGATCAATTCGTGCTACAATGTAATTGAATGATAATGGGTACTAAACAGCTTATGATCAGTGTGTTTTGCTGACTTTCTTTGTGTTCAACCTCTCCTAACTGTCAGCTAATGTTGCTGCTACTTCTGTGATCCACTTGTAGAGTGCACTGGCATCTGTCGTTTTCCAATGGGCACACGTTTCAAGAAGGAAGTGTGAAAGCCGTGGCCTTTGCATGCAAAGTGAATGCAGCCACACCGCAGGTATTTAGTAAGAACGCTGGCAACGCTCCATGGCAATATTATACACAAGGAGGTGACACTAGCAAAGGGAATTGCACCAGTGATAAAGGCACAGCCGAAGACAACGTGGGAGGTTGACCCATACCTGAGCTGCCTGCCTGCCTGCCGTCCAACTTGGACTAGTCATTGACCTTCGCACCCCAGCACCCCCATACAAACTACAAGACATTCCTAGCCCTCAAGTTCTCAACATCTCCACCCCCAGGAGACATCATGTTTTCCCAAGAATTAGACATTGCTCCCATGACGACAACAGTGACATGGCTGTACTGTACACACACAGGCCTTTCTTGCACCAGTTACATGCTTGAAATTATGATGTGGGTACTGTACCACTGTGTAATTGAATACAATAATTGTGTGGCACAAAATACTGCACATGCCATTGCTTTCCAACCAGTTACCTGGCTACAGTACAGCTGTATACAATCATGTAGTTGAATGCATGACAGCCCAATGCAGTGCCCACATCATGAGGTGCAGTAGAATTTTTCATTTTTCACAACTCAGCCAGTCACCTGACCTGCATCCATGTGCACAACCACGAATGAGCAACCACTGAACCAGGCAGTGAAGCTGCACCATGGTCAAACTTCATCTCCAGGACACCACTTCTGCTGTAGTACTACTAGTTCTATTTCCAGCGGAACCACCATCACTCAGGATGTGTCCTCATTTGAGTGCTACAAGATGAGTACGCGCACGTCGTGGTCGTCAGCCACATTTCCGACACTCGCCAAAGGGATTCTAATACTACACGCGCAAGTAGTGCACACGTAAAATCACCAGTAAATTCATAATTATTACTCTGCCAATTTGCCGAAGTAAGTATTAGTTTGGAACTGACAGATACGGAACAGACACGTCACGACGCTGCAGCGCGCTTTGCGAACACCCTCGCTTCTAGGCCAGTTTGTTGGACACCTTCAGAACGTCGAGGAGGTCCAACAAAACACACTAACACGCAGCATCACACAGGGCGTGCGAGTGTTTGTTTCCGTACGCTTACCCAACAAACATGATTATTGTACAAGGCACGCAACACACACACCCACTGCCCATGCTCTGCATACAGAAACATTTCGTCAAAGCGAATTAACTCCAGTCTACAGTACTCAGTAGTCACTTTTTTACTTCCTCCTGAATGGTTGTTGCAGATTTTCCGCTATTTGCGCAGCTGCAACCACCTAAGCAATCTCGTTGCACGGTGTGCCCTTCCAGCATGTCAGAAAATTTGCCAACTATCTCACTTCCTCCTGAATCGATGTTGCAGATTTTCCGCTATTTGCGCCGCTGCAACCACGGCCTCCTGTAGTACACCTAAACAAATAAACATGCACGATGCGATGTTGCGCTCGCGCTTTCAGCATATCAGGTTTGGAACACATCACCGATCGAACTCATACGAAAGAGGCAACACAAATCTACAGACTTACCTTGGCCGCATTTCGTTCCAGATTTTCCGCTGTCGGCGCAATTGCAACCCGCCGCACTGGCCTCCGCAAAGCAGGTTGTTCCCGCTTGGCACTGTGACGAATCGCACCACTCACATGATCCAGCCACAGCAAGCAAGTCACTGGGGTCCGTCACCTCGCCAGATGACGGCAAACGTACGTCTTCAACGCATGCTGCCAGAGGAGGACTACTCAGTTGGTAGCCGGAATGCGCACCTGTGCCGCCGATGAAAACCTCCGCCGCCGCTGCCTCCAGTTTCTGTTCGGAGGTGGCGTTGGCGGTGAAGATCTGATCTCCACTACTCGATCGAACACTGACGGTTGTTACCAGGTCATCCGCGGCTTGTGCAATCGTCCAATCCTTGAAGGTGCCGTCCAGAAGTTGGGAAGCGTCGTAGTGCTGAGCTTCCCCGGGTCGCGTGGTCAGTACGAGTTGGCCATCATGCAGCTCCACCGACGCCACGACACCGTTGGCAAAGATGCCGAACACGAAACCGTTGACGCTGTCGGTGCGGAGCTGGAAGTTCGCACTCCATCCAGTGTCTGCTGTTTCGCCTGCATCTGATGGGTAGTCAAAATGTAGATAGCTCGCCTGTCCATGCAGCGTGAAGGTCTCAGCTGATGCTAGGGAACATAAGGAAAGGAAAGGAACAAGAAGACGGAGCGGGCATATCCAACCTGCCATCATCGGGCTTCACACGCTGTCTATGATCTACGTCGATTTGGGGTGCATGCGTTCCGGTCGCTTATGACCAAAATGATGATTCTTCTGAACACCGACACGATGGTCGTAGCTAGCTGACAGCCCGTAATGGCCGTATGACAGTGCTAGCGACACCTAGCTAGCTAGCTGTACGCTGCTGTTTTATCTACAGTCTGCCTGATCATAAGATCAAGACAAAAATAATAATTAGGGTCTAAATGCAGTTCGAACTACTCGTCCCTACTCCTACTTCCCGTGAGACGAAGTGCGAAGACAGCATCGACACCGACAACAGTGAAAGGTAACAGCGAGGCTGGCGGTGCAGCAGATGGCACAACCCGTTTGCCCGCGCAGCCGTTCAGCTCGCACCGAAATGCATACCTGTGCTTCTTTTGTACATACCTGGGATACGTCTGTGAGTGCGAGTCACACTCTGCTGCAGTGCTGGCCAGAAGGCAATCATGAACCTCTTCAAGAATCACGGCTTTGGCCTTTTGGGCCGTGAAAGAGCCTCGATTCAAGGGTGCGAGTATGGGTGCGCAACTAGTGAGGAAGTGATTGAATAAAAGGCAAGATTCGGCGAGGCAGGCACGTGTTGCGCTGGAGTGGAGGTACAGATCTTCTATTATTAGTAGTGCAGTACAGATCGATGGGCCGGCCATATTCTCTACACTGATGATAGATAAATAGGCGACGAGGAGACCATAACTAGTAAATCCGCGATATTCATGTTAAAACAAAATGGCGTCACGATTTATTGAAAGTGGTATAGTTGGTGGTACGAGTGTTCAAAACCATTTGAACTTCATACTGTTCGTCTTCTTTTTGATATGCTCTCTTTCCATCGTCCTTAGCTTTTGTTTGTTGAGAGCTGTTTTGGCTTTCTCCTATACCTCTGGGGGATGCCAAGTGATGGTTTTGAGAGGCTGGTGATGGCTGTGAGCGAGAGTTTGCCGATCGGCGTCGTCCTCGCTATAGCGATGAAAATACTAGTTACTGCGCACCTGGCAGATATCACAACACGTCGGAGCGTCCAGGAGCAAAGGAATCTTGGGTTTTCACTGGAATCTAATTCCTCCAGCATCGTGTAGCCCACCGTCGGTGAATGGCGGTCCAGAAAGGTCGAACCTGGTCTTCTGCAGCATCTCGCAGTCCTGCGAGGCACACTGAACACGCCTGTCATGTATTCTACAAATAAAAATCACGAAGTAGTGGACTATACAGTGATGAGTCTATCCTGTATGCTGCTGTACCACCAACTATACCACTTTCAATAAATCGTGACGCCATTTTGTTTTAACACGCATACGGTCCATTTAAAATAACTACATGTAGTTACTTTATCAAGGCGATGAATAGTATAAGCGAAGCGGACATTATAATTATTATGCTGGACTATTGTAGTATTCTGACTACCGGGTGCGTGTACGTGTAGTAGTTCAACTTCAAGTCTTGGCTTGGCGCATTCAACACTGCATTCAACACTGTACAGTCAAACCTCGTTAGGACGAACTTCAAGGGACTGAACAAATTTGTTTGTCTTATCGGGCGTTCTTCTTATCCAGATCTGACAAAAAAATCGATATGCACATCATATGGACTGTATTTATGTGAAGATGCATACTGTTGTACATGGGAAGCATTTTATTCTAAGCATAAGCCAGAAACAGGTAAGTACAATGGCAATATGCACATGATGAATCATGACTGTGCTGAAAGTTCGTACAACGCACTGATTATTTGTTCAAAACATGCTTGAAAGCAATTTGCACTGCACTGTACGTGCATACGATATGGAAGGAAAAAAGGCAGCCAGCGCACCCTCCTCGGCCTCGTGGACCGAAAGTTCGTACTACAACATGTACATGACCACACTGATTTTGTTCAAATCACACTTGAAAATCGTTCGTCTTTGCGAAAGTTCGCTGTACAGAAGTTCGTCGTAAACGAATAATTTTGACTTGAATTGATGCCTGGCCAACCATAGGATTGGCCCGAGTTCGTACTAATGGAAAGGTCGCCTTATTGAGGAAAATGTTATCAACTCCAAAGCACGAAAAAGGCCAAAAACTAAACCAAGAACATATGCAATAACATGTTATTTATAAAGACAGGACAAGTGAATAATTAGTCAGTCCATTGTTCATGATGATCTCCGACGGTTACGTCGGCAAGCGAGCCTCCGCCACTGCCAAAGCAGCGTGGGCTCCGCAGGAGGGTGCAAATTTCAAACCAAAATTTAAACGCCTACAACCGCGAATGCACATGATACAGGATTTCAGAAGGCTGAAGGAAATCCTGCATCTAACAAATGCCATAACATGAGAGTAATGCTCACCCCTCTTCTCCGCCAACAGATGAGCAATTCGTTTGTACAGTGCTGTTGATGCTGGACCCATTCCGCCACTGGCTGACATGACCGCCGGAACAAAGGAGGCTTGCTCAACCTGCCTCACCCGCTCCTCATAGTGCCTTCTCTTTTCTTTTTCATGTCGCTGATACACAATAGTATGTGGTGCAGATCGATTTGAGCGTTATCAGTGTTCGTCCTAACGAGGTTTGACTGTACAGTCAAATCTGCCGTTAGCGACCTCTGCTGTAGGCGACCATCTACCGTTAGCGACCGATTTTCCGTGCACCGACGGTTTCACATACAAACTGATCTGTCCAGAGCGACCATCTGCGTTGCGCGACCAGCGACCGCGATTTCATGCACGGTGGCTGCATTCAAATCTGCTGTAAGCGACCGCGACCCAGGTTCAGTAAGGTGCGAAACTGTACTTGCCAGTGCGTTGTCAACTGCAAAGTGTGAAAATGCGCTGTCTTGCAAGTGCGATCGACTGGCGCCTGGCCTGTACGAGCTACTGAGGCTGTGCTGTAGCTCTCAAGTCCAGGCAGTGTCGATCTACTGCCGTGTCGCATACGCGTACTATATGGGTATGGTCGTCGTTGAATATCCAATAAAATGATATTAAAAATCACATTATTCTCCTCGATTTGAGTACATGGAAGCATATACCTGGTATGCCGGATTTACCATACATCTGCCGTAAGAGACCATCTGCCGTAAGCGACCGCTTTTTCTTGCACCAAGGGGCGGTCGCTTACAACAGATTTGACTGTATTCCCAAAGACAGTGCTACATGTAGAACTTCATACACTGACCGTCAGTGTCAGCCACTACAGTCTACACAAGCACCGGAAAAGTAACATTACAATCATGTAGTTAATAATAGTTTCATCCAGGCTGTCGTGTCTACTAGTACCTGGTTTCATCACAAAGGCTCAACGACTACTTTTTTGTAGTTCAGTTGGAAGGCGTGTACAACTGTTTGGAGACTCAGAGTCAGAAGCCGAGAACGGCTACTAGAACGGCTATGTACACTGTATAGTACTAGTAGATCTACTGGTCACTAGGTCGACAAATGCACGGACAGGTACAAGGATCATCCCAGTATGCAGTAACTATTTTAGTTAAAGGGGAACTACACCCAAAAATCAAAACTTCATGGTCCGTAGAGTTTTGGACGCTGAGTCGAATGGTGAAGGTCCCACTTCGATCCGACCAAGCGTTCCTGAGATATCTTCGGTTTAAATTGTACTTTCGGGGGACGCGCCATGACGTCATGCGGCCGCGACACACCCCCAACACGCCCTTCTACGTCATTGAGACTTGCTTGCCTGGGCCAAGCTCAGAAGTACAGGTATTTTGGTATGTGAAAGGAATAGTTCTGACAAAGACGTCCTCACCATGAGCGATTCCGACGTATCAGACGAGCTTGAAAGCTCAGAGCCTGAGCTGAAAATGTTTGGCTTCGGGCATGAGCCGAAATTTTCAGGAAAGGATATGGCAGCGCAAGCGGTGGCTTCCATTCGGGCTGTAAATGTGGATGAAGCAGAAATTACTGCAATTGGAGAAGTCGCTCTCCATCAGCAACATCTGGCAACCGGTTGGCTGGGCTATTTCGAAATGAAGCGGCAGCCAAAGCAGCTCAGACAACCCTGACAATCCGTAAGTGTTTTCACAGTATAGTCCTACGTAATGCTCACAAATCGAATCGTTCTCTTCATATCGTAAATTGTGTGAAATTTTGTATTCGCACAGTACTCAGATCAATAGTCTCCTCACTCGTACTCCTGTACATGGAGTTTGCTGCGTAACATGGCTAGCATTATCTCCGTGCAAGTCGTGCAATGTGTATCGGTTCACTTGTGCTTTATCTCACATAAGTGGACTGCACTCAATTCGTATTGTGGCGAAATACATTCTCACCTTTTGCATTATCACTTAGTCTTTACAGAATGCTGAGACGTTCTCTTGTATTTCACGTAGCTGTGTACCAACAATTACGCTGTGCACTCTAGCAGCAGCAGCAGCAGCACAGTAGCATATTGAGTGCGTTTTGCCCTACTGTGGTGTCTCATGACTGCATTACCGGAACAACTCTGTCCTTCTTGATTATCATTCTAAAATGTGTGCACATATCCGCCTGCGCCCCACACACACGCACGCACATGTGCTCACCTTGGTGGGCACATAGTATAGTAGTCACACATGCTCACGCACGCAGACACGCAATTTCACAAGCGCGTGCGCACACGAGTGCATAAGCATACAAGTGCCTGTGCACATGCTCGTGCACGCACACATGCGCGCACTCATGCACTTGGTTGCATACCCACACATCCCTCAGGATCACTAACGGCAATGCATCTACTACTTGTCTTGTTTCCATGTCCCTCCCGCAAATGGGGAGAGAATGACATAAAGGAGAACACAGAATAGATGACGTGAATATCTTTGGAATGTTATATTACATTACACAAAAGCACACGCATGTGCACGCACACACACACACTCACGCAAGTGCGCGCACACTCACACGCATGAGCGCGCACACACACTCAGTGTCACGCGCGTGCGCGCGCGCACACACACACTCACGCGCGCGCACACACACACTCACGCGCGTGCGCGCGCGCACACACACACTCACGCGCGTGCACCCACACACACAATAATAATAATGTCTGTCTCTCACGCGCGTGCGCGCAAACACACTCACGTGCGCGCACACACACTCACGGGCGCGCGCACGCACACACTCACGCTCGTGCGCGCACACTCACGCGCGTGTGCGCGCACACACACACTCACGCGCTTGCACGCATACACACAATAATAATAATGTCTGGCTCTCATCTGCATCCATACTGAGAAAACCCAACGAGTTCCCGAATAGGTGTACACCGTTGCCGGTATGTGGACTATCTTCTCTCCTTAAACTGCGGGTCATT